TAGTGGTGGTAGCACAAACTATGCAGACTCCGTGAAGGGCCGATTCACCATCTCCAGAGACAACGCCAAGAACACGGTGTATCTGCAAATGAACAGCCTGAAACCTGAGGACACGGCCGTCTATTACTGTAATGCAGACACAGTGAGGGGAAGTCATTGTGAGCCCAGACAAAAACCTTGCTCCCTGGGGCACCCACAGCCCCCAGGGGGTGCTCACGACCCACCAAGGGCAGGGCTGAGCCCCAGAGCAGGTGCAGAGGTGTGGGAGGAGATTACAGTTATAATCCTTGGTTTCCTTTTCCCGCCCATCAACTCTACTACAGACCCTCTGCTGGATTCTAAATTTTCATTGTTGAGGTATGTGTTGCTTTCTGACAATAATATTTGTAATCAGGATGTATTTTTACAACTGAAAAAAAGCTCCAAACAATGATAAACTGTAGTATAATTTTAAAGGTGACTCAGAAATTTTCAAACCTGACGAATACCCTGAGAAGGCACAGGCACCGGTAAAACACGTGTAAAGAGTTACACATCTTTGTCTCTGCTCCCGGGGCAGGAGGCTGCACACCCTGCATCTTTCTGCCAAAGGGCACACAGGGTTTGCAGTGAGCAGGATGCACATCACAGACGCCAGCTCCAGACTGCCCAGGACTGCGTGTGCAGGGATCCTCATTGCTCACAGAGTCCGGGGTCTACAGATCACATCTGGGCAAAACTTATTTCCAGCCCCAAATGAAAAATGTTGCATTTTCTGAACTCCTGGACATTTACAACGTGGGCAGCACTTTGAATCCGCAACACTCGAACATTCCCACCTGAGGTCGGTCGGGGTGATGCTCTGCCCTCTTGTTCCAAGTCCCATCACGTAAATGAGTCTCCTTCCAGGTCCAATTAGTGCCATGTTTTTGACACTTTCTGGGATATGTAGGAAATTTTCCTGTTTTAATTGGCCCATGTGCAGTCCTGAAGTGCGGTCCAGTGTCCCTGAGCACAAAGTGCTGTGAGCTGACTTAAGGAGAAAGTATTTCGAACAGACAAGCTCCATTCAGGCATGAACTATACTGATGGGGGCTGTGAGCTTGATAATAAAGTTTAGGTATGAATTTTATTTCAATAAAGGAATGCAAAGCTCACTTTGGGTATTTGTGGCAGTCTGGGTTACCTGGTTCAGTGTCAAATTCAGACGGAAAATGGAGATTTATGGCCAAGAAGATGGCGCTGCTGACCGGGTGGAAAATTACTGTGAGGAGACTTCAAGGTCAGGAGGACTCTGGGCAGATTGTCTCCAGAGGATTCGTGGTGCAGGAGGCGGGGGTGGTTAAAAATTCCCATCACAGCACAGCGGGTGATAGGTGTAGTGAATTGGATCACATATTGAGGGTGATCAGAGTTCCAGGTGAGGATTCCCACTAACACGACTCAGCAGGTTTCTTGATAAGACTGGGACATGCAGAGATGGACGCAGAATCCCGCAGGCCCAGAACTAACTGAGGAAAGCATTTCAAGGAACTTCACTGGTGTGTGGTCAAACGGTCAGTGTCAGCTTCAGAGTCAGGGTTCTTATCTTCACTGACACGATTCTCTGAGAGCCGAAAACTAAATCCGAAGAACATGAAACCTCTGGGCATTCCTCCTCTTGATGGCACTGCCACCTTTCAGAAGAAGAAATCAGATGCACAGAAGCATCATGGATGCACAGACACGGGAGGAAAGTGCATCTGAGGCTCAGTGAGGACGGGGCCCCTGCGAGCAAAGGAGAAAGGCCTCAGAAGAACCCGAACCTCTGGGCACCTTGATCTTGGACTTCCGGCCTCCAGATCTGAGAGAAATGCATTTCTGCTGCTTGAGCTGCCCAGTCTGTTATCTGTAACGGGACCTCTACCCAAGTGATACACAAATGATGAGACTTTCAGGTATATATGTGAAAGTAAGTGTCGTACCGCAAAGGAAAAATCACCTGTTCTGCACAGATGTCCTATGATCACCTCCAAGAGTCACATGAACTTCTACTGAAAAATGGTTTTGGCCTCACGGGAGTGAGTAGAATGATCCTGAACATATTAATGTCCAGTATCTATCAGTTTTGTTATAATTTGGAAATCACGATAAAAAATGTACTCAAATTGAGAACCAACCAAACCTCAGAACAGCAAGGAATGGACGTCTTAAAGTCTGTTCATGATTTCTAGGGGGTCTCTGAGTAACACACTGTAGACACAGGATGTGAGGTGAAAAATTGAGGAACAGATTAAGAAAGTAACAGAACATGTGCTGTTGAACTGAGTTCACTACTTCGTAATAAATGCCAACATGGTGGCAGGAAATGTGCAAAAACTTTGGTGTGACGTCCAGGAAAGAGCACAGCTTTTGTTTCACAAGCAGCTGAGAGTCAGAGCAGAGATGCAGAGCAGGTGAGCAGGGAGCAGAGGGGACCGGGGGTCTGGGGGGCACGAGAGGAGGAGGGAAAGAAAGCCCTGCTCTGCTTACAGTCACTCCCCTGCCCTCCGACTCTCCTTGGACTGAACTCCCTGCTCTGGGAGGAGAGCAGCTGTGGTCAGTGAGCAGAAGGGGAGTCCACCCTGGATATAAGCCAGCACCACCTCCCGAGCCCAGAGACACGGCCTCGCCTGACCCCCCACGTTCGTGCGGAAACACGACCCCACGTGCATGCGAACCACAAGCAGGGCTCAGGGCCATCACAGCACCTGTGCCACCCGGGGCCAGGGTCTCCTCTTCACTGACGTCATCCTCTGAGGGCCAAAGGCTTGGCTGACAAGGACATAAACCCCCCTCTGCACTACACACAGTGCCTCCTGGTGGGTCTGGGTCCATCCTCCCCCAGGGAGAGCCCAGCAGAACCTGGGGTGCGTGGGTCTGGGAGCTGGACAGCATACACCCTGCCTCTCCAAAAACTCCCCCCCATAACCAGAGAAACATTGAAGGTCACGTGTCCCTGCAGCTCAGCTCTGGGGTCCTGAGGACACAGCCGCATGCTTTTGTCACTGGAAGGAGAGCGAGTGAGGGGACATCAGGGTGACCCAGACACAAAGGTCCCTGCAGGGAGGGCTCAGGCCAACAGGGGGCAACCAGGGCCCTGAGGAAACCAGAGGACCCTTTTCAGAGCAGGTGCAGAAGCAGCCATGGACGGGTTCCCTCCCAGAGACGGAGAATTCTCCGCTGGTTCACCGTCTCCCCTGGGAGCCGATCCATAATGTTTCCAGGGAAACTTTCTGATCTGAACTTGGGCCTTTTTCATGGATTCAGGCTTGTCTGTGTTTTATTCCTCATCTAACTTAGGAACAGACTCACAGAAATATTTCTTCATGAGACTTTACTTGATATTTATTCACTAACTATTCTTTTTAGTTGTCGGGTTTACAAATAATTAATGACACAAATGACACTTCTTTGCAACCTCCAGTCTGCCCTCCACCTTCCAATGTATTTCCAGGCATTTCATCCTTGACAGCGTCCCCAGTCTTGTTTCCTGCAGTACAATTAACGAGCATAGCATGAAGAATGTTGTATATTTCAAAATTGATGTCTGTGTGAAAGCAGAGTCATTTGTCCACAGAGGATATGTGGAAATGTCTGGAGACGGGTGGGCCGTCACATGTGGGGTGGGCTGCAGGTGCCCAATTCCCTAGTGGGCAGAGTCCATCAATGTGGCCGTGCATCCCACAATGCACACGGCAGCTCCCACAAC